CAAAGGGGCAATTTTTCATCAAAACTTGTTGTTAAATTCTGTTTCGTTAATTAAAACTAAATTTTCAAAACACTAAAAAAACTAGTAAGAAGATAATAACCTTACTAATTTGATCTTCATTTTGGACAAATTTTGATTAATGTTAATAAACATGTTTATGGAAACATCGCTTGACGTCCGCACTGCGCTTAATTCCGTTGAAGCATAAATCTGCCTTCCTTTGGAACGCCCAATTCAAGGTATTATTACGACGGAAACATTTTAATCCTTTCCCCAGAAGACAGTCTCTCTACAGGAGATTTATTGTCCGAAAAATAAAGTTGCTACAGTTAACTATTTGCAGATCAAACATTGACTAAAAATGCTTACTCAGCATTTTTCCAAAACTTTGGTCAGCAATATTTCAGTAATTGTTTTTGTTTGTGGAAACACCACGTAAATTTATTACTGCAAAGCTTTCGATCCGTAAGCCCGGATCTTCATCAGTGCTAATAATATGTGACTTGTTTAATTCACGCGCTCTTTTTATATACAAAAGTGTTGTGATCTGTTGGCTCGCGTCATTTGAAATTTAATTTCAAAATGTAGTGAAGTGATTCCAATTAACGCGCGCGCATCCAAGACAAGAGAAATTAATTTTGCACATTAAAGAGAGCACGCCACGTACTATCTAGTGGCTTTCCCTCCTGATCTATAGTATTGTGCTTCTCGATTTCAATTGACTCTCTCGTTTTGCGAGAGAACTTATGACTATCAATCGCCAAAATGGTTGCTTCGTCCCATTTTATACGATGGTCGTAAGTCCAAGTATGTTTAGCCACAGCAGATTTATCTTGCTCGGCTTTCTCGCAATTCATCTTGTGTTCCTTAAGACGTACTGAGAGATTTCGACCAGTTTCACCAATGTAAACCAGACCACATTCACAAGGAATGCGGTACACACCAGGTTTCTGAGATTCATTTACGTTGTCCTTATGTGTGCAAAGAGCTCAAAACAATTTGTTTTCGCTGGAAAGGTATACCTTTATACCTGCTTCATTCCTCAAAATTCTTTCGATTTTGTGTGAAGCCGGACCAATGTATGGTAGACTAACAGACGACTGATATTCAATCTTCTGCTGTATACTTTGTGGCGTTTTCATAGCATTATCTATGAAGTGCCGTCGGTAACCATTCATTTTTAGAACATTTCTTAAATGTTCTAATTCATCGTCAATGTTACTTACCTCACAAATTGTTTTCGCTCGGTTGATGAGTGTCTTGCACACAGAGTTTTTAACACTAGAATGATGAAATGAATTATAATGCAGATACCTGTCAGTATGTGTTGGTTTCCTATAAACCTTGTGTCCTAGCGACCCATCATCATGTATAGTGAAAAGAACATCTAAGAACGGTATAGTTTTATCATCCTTCTGTACTTCAAAGGTAAACTTGATCGATGGATGCAAACTATTAATGTGGTCTAGAAACTTTTGTAAATTATCTAGTCCATGAGACCAGTTACTCAATGTATCATCCACGTATCTGAACCAGAAACCTGGTTTCAACTTTGCAGTAGCTAAGGCCTTCTTTTCAAATTCCTCCATGAACAAATTAGCCATAACAGGCGACAATGGACTTCCCATTGGAGCGTCGTTTGTTTGTTCATAGAATTTCTCCCGCCATTGAAAACATGTCGTGGTCAAACATAGTTTCAACAAATCATGAACATTCTCAGGAGAAAGATTAGTTCTTTGAGATAATAACGCGTTCCAAAGAATTTTGAACAATTCCAAACTTCGAATTTTGACTCAAATTTGCAATATTTTGCGGAAATTTCTCATTTTTCTGCCGAAATACGGTATAATTGCCAAGTCAACGTAATTTTGCCCCAAATTTCAAAGAAAAAGGCGATTTCCTGCGAACTTGTGTCGAAATTGTATTGATATATAATCTTGATTTTCGCTGACAGCAATTCTTCTGGCTTACATTTTTGTTATTTTTCTATAATTTGTGCTGAGTGTGTTCAGTCTACTTCCAAAATCAATTAAAATCGAAGGAATTGGTAGAAAAAAGCTTATTTTTAATGTTTTTAGCTAATTTTCGCCGAATATTCTGATAAGTGTTCATTTTACCGCACAATACCAAACTTTTAAACAAAAAAATGAACTGTCTGCTAAAATGCATGTGCAATAGAATAATTGGTGTAATATATAGGGGTGTCTTAATTTCAGAATCCTCTATCGCTGGAAATTGAATAAACGATCATGCAAGATATAGTTATACGAGTGTCTGAAATTCAAACACCCATATAGCTTGCAATAGAGCCTTATATTCTATTGCGAGTTATATGAGTGTCTGAAATTCAGACACACTATACGGGTGTCCGAATTTCGGACACTCTTATATTATATTGCGCGCGAGTTATATGGGTGTCTGAATTTCAGACAGCCATATAACTCGCAATAGAATATAAGAGTGTCTGAAATTCAGACACCCATATAACTCGCAATAGAATATAAGAGTGTCTGAATTTCAGACACCCATATAACTCGCAATAGAATTAGATAAGATCATAAGAGTTTCTGAAATTCAGACACTCATATGTTTTGCTGTAGCCTCCTCCGCAGACATCTCGTGGTTCACATACTTTACAATTTGTTTTGCCTGCAAGTAAATTTTGCCCGCCAATCTAAAGGCGATGCCTGCGGAGGAGGCTTCACGAGCTGCTATATTTACTTATCTGGCCTAGAAAAAAAAAGTTAGAAGTGCAAAATATGATTGAGAGTACAATGGGTCAAGAAACTAATGAAACGACAATAATGTTTTGCGGTTAATTGGTCAAAGCACATATTAGATCAGTACAATTGTGATGAGTTGGTCTTCATGCCAAATGGCCCAAATCCTTGGAGCATGGGTGCGCATAATCAACCGATTTCTCATGAGCAAATTCAAACAGAGTAACGTTATGGATACTTGCAATAATATGGCGATTGACGAGTCTTTGCATGGCAAACACCTGAAATTATAGCGAAATACAAGCCTATGAATACCACATAAACTGTCTGCCTGGTAGCGTATTTTACTTTCAGATATCGTTGGCAATAGTTTTCAAAGATTTACTTGTCTGCAGCTTTGGATTATGGAAAACATATATAGCTTCATTAATTTCGGCTTAGTATTGCGCACGACAAGACGCGATATAAACACTTGTAGAACATTCGTTTGGCGGTATGGTAAATAAACTGAAATATAATGCCGCGCTACATGTTATCCGCAAAAATCGTCAGTTTATTACCGGTTACACAGCCCATGCTTGTATCTTTACGAGACTGTGATATGTAGCTATATAATGTACATATAGCTATCTTCGACCATGCATGCACAGCATGAATGTATACCGGAATTGGATACTCACAATACTTCTGCGCTAAAAGCTGCAGTAAGTGTAACCATGTAGCTATTATAACAAACTAGAAAGATATGAATAACGTATCGACGCGTTGAAAATAGACTTATGCCAGAGATAATTTACTATAGTTAAATCACTTAATTAAATGAAGTGTAATGCATTCGGAGGGCCTATATACACACTCCACAACGAATGAAATTTGATATAAAATCAGTGCAATTCAAGTCTTTAGAGAAAAACGTTAGTGAAGGTCTATTAAGAAAATAATAGAGCTAACATGATATGTATTGTATATTCATTGTAATTGAGTAACTGCGGTACACTATGATTAATATCGGTGCAAACCGCAAATGATCTACACTACAGTTGTCGCATTACTTCTGCAAATTGCGCGCATTAAGTTTGCAACATGAATAAAATACTATTTCATAATTCACGCAATACACAATTCATAATAAATAGAACTGCTGTATGATTTACCTGGTGGCCGTCGCTTCATCTTACTGCGGAATCTCAATTCATATCCCGTAGCTCTTTGTCTGAATTAACAGTCTTTCTAATTCTCTTGTATCGGCAACATAAATTTGCAAAATAGTATAATGACCAGTCTAACCATATCTTAAAATTTTAACACTCCGCGGTGACAATCTATTCAAAAGGCTCGTGCGTGGGCAGACGACACAGAGGTTGCCGTCAAATATATGTTTTATTGTCAATTGTCACGTCCTGATTGGTTGAGCTTGATTCATAATCTTAATTTGAATTCTAAGTTTCCGTGCGCGTGTGTTCATATTCCAAAGTCTAATCCCGCAGAATAACAGAACTAGTGTAGAAATTGATTCAATAGACATATCCTAGCGACATAGCGAACAACTATAGTTACCAAATGAATACAGTGTGGGTACGGATTCGCTTTGGCAATGATTTATAAATTCGTCAAGGGATACTAATAATGTCAATGCAGGTAAATAATTTTCCTATTTATCAATATTCTAAGGGAATTTAGAAACAGAGTTTATTTACTTTTGATTCGTGTACCGCGAGTAATTTATAGAGATACATGGTACGTTGCTATTCATTTGATATCGTGCGCAAAATTTTGCAATGTTTATCTGAAACTTAACATTGATTATTATGCGCTGATTTCCTCACTCCCATGGTGCTAATGAGTTTACTGCTTGGTTTGCGCCGATATTATAATACTATCGCTACCTCCTCCGCAGGCCCTTTTTCCGGGCACATTTGCGGGCGGTGCAAATTTTTGCGGGCCACTTTTAGAAACTTGAAGCGAAAGACGAAGGGCCTGCCATATAATGTGTCGAAAATCGGGAATATGTGTCGAAAATCGGGAATCCAAAAAAATCTCTTTGAAATTTCGTCCATCATTAGTTCAAATTAATTTATCACGTAAACTGGGTTATTTCTGGACTTGCTGACAGAAAATCAAATGGAAATACGGCAAATAAAGAAAGAAATCGATATACGACCGGCGTCATATTTGGACGAAAATGCAGAAAATACAGAGGAATCGGGAATCCAAAAAAATCTCTTTGAAATTTCGTCCATCATTAGTTCAAATTAATTTCTCACGTAAGCTGGATTAATTCTGGACTTGCTGACAAAAAATCAAATGGAAATACGGCAAACAAAGAAAGAAATCGAAATACGACCGGCGTCATATTTATACGAGAATGCAGAAAATACAGAGAAATATTATTTAAGTTTAAAGTGCACCAAGATCTGCTGTTCATCCACATCCGACATGAGTTCTTTTACTGCCTCCGATTTGTTTCGAATTTCATTCTCAAGAAATTTGATCCGCTGAAACATGAAACGGTATTTTTGGCCATATCACATTATGGTTGTGCTCGTAGTTTTAATACAGCAATGGAGGACAGCAGCGATGAATCTGATATAAACATTGTTGACAGCGATGTAGATATTCTGAATATATCACTTTCCGAAATAGAACTTGGTATGTAGCTTTTTGTTGTAATATAGATTCTACATGCAGACATTGACATTGTGTTTATATTATCACTCAAAAGACAGAGTATCAGAGAACAAGCGAACAATGAGACGCTATATTACTTCCTATAAATGATACATTTTTAATTAATGCATGGCCTTTTTATGGACCATATTTGTCTTTCAAATTGTGCTTTCAATGTTTTTTTGCAGACTGATATTTGAATCTTATCTAAAGTATTTGGAATGACTTTTCACAGGCTAGCAGAATATGTAGAAAGCATATATAAATATATTGATTATATATGCTTTTGCATTGTAAAACTAAAACAGACCTCATAGCCATAGAAAAGTTACCTAACTTTTTAGTCTGCCAAAACCACTGGATGCTATTTCTAAATATTTTAAAATATTTTTTTGTCAAATATACTATAATGAAAGGTTCTTGATGTATCACAATCAGAATTGTTGTTTTCCTATAATTTTACTCAAGACCAACAATTCTACATAGCAAACAATTATTTGGCCTTGGATTCTTTCCACAACCTTTTGATCCAAGATGAAATATGAAATTATTTTTAATGTTTACTCTTATTAATGAATGTGAAATTGAAGCTGGACATGGTCATGGGGGCAGATAATTTCAGAGAAAAAAATACATTTTTTGCCTTATTATTATAGATTAGGAATTGAATAGATGGCTCACTCCTTTGATGTTTTTGGCGCTGCCAGCACCCATGCATGTTTTGCCAGAGTAATGGCGGCCTAGCAAGTAACTGTAGTAAAATGCATTGTCAAAACGACATCAGTGCTACTAAATCCTGTATTTTTATAATTTTGATTTATTTTTGGATTAAAACCCCTGAAAGCGGAAAAATACAAGATTTAGTACCATGGATGTTAATTTCACAATACATTTTATTATAGTTCTTACTAGCCCACCATTACTCTGGCAAGAACATGTGTGGGTGCCGGCAGCGTCAAAAACATCAAAGGAGTGAGCCATCTATTCATTTCCTAATCTATGGCATTACAGTCTATTAACATATGAATCTGTGGACTTGGACTTGTTTTTCATTGTTTTATTGCAAACTGTTATGCTTGAGTGTATTCTGGAATTTAGACCACTCATTTTCAAAAATATAATCAAAATGAATAATTTATTTTGGAATTGGTTGTCTTCAATTTCAATCTAATTGGCTCAAAAATGATGTGATTATAGCTCTAGCTGATGCAAGCAATTTAGTTATTGCTATGGCCTATGTGTGCAATTTGTGCTGAAATCACACTACTGAGAACCATTCAGATTGCATAGTAATTGAACTTTTAAAGAAGTAAATCCTAACCGTCAGTTAACAAATCTGGGCGAAACTTTGTCCCTTGTCAAATGGGAATGAGAGTTAATAAGAAGCGAGAGTTTGCATGAGAGTTTTCTCAACTCTCATGTTCCGGTGAAACGAGAACAAGAGTTGCATAAGAGTTGATGAGAGTTGAAAAGTGAGAGTTTTGTCAACTCTCATTCCCCGGTCAAACGAGAACAAGAGTTGCATGAGAGTTGAGAAGCGAGAGTTTGCATGAGATTTTTCTCAACTCTCATGAAAACTGTCATTCAAACTCTCATTAACTCTCAACCTCGTTTGACCTAAGCTTTGAGACGAAGCGATAATTAGTGGCACTTGAAAACAATTTTACGTTTTGAAACGTTTTCACCAATAAAATACGATGAGAGTTTACAAATTACTGGATATTTCCACTAAAACTAAGGCAGCTCATATTGAAGCATCTCAAAATTGAGAAAAGTTTATGAGAGTGCATGAGATTCGATGACAGCGAGCGAAGAGTTGCAAAATGAACATAATACTGTAATGTGCTAATTATCCTTTACATGGGTGGATTATTTATTCTTGAGATTTTTAAGAAATTCTTGTCTTTTTGTAAAGTGATTAACAATAAAAATGTTGTATTTCATTTCAAAATGATGACTCTTACCTACTCAGTGTGAAACTGCAGCATACCATTTTGACTTGATGAAGAAATTTATATTTTCTATATTATATATTTACTTTGAGCAATGAGGAATTTGAGTAGTGCTAAATTTTTACTGATAATCAAAATTATATCTGCTTATTTCTATGTAATAAATGTTGCCAGGACCAGTTGTTTTCCTAGCCAACACATATAAATGAAAGGATATGTTAGTTCAAGTGAACTTAAGAAAGCTTAAGAAAGGTTGCACACCATTTATCATTCACCTTTGCCACCTGATTATTTAATTTCGTGCTTTTGTCAGATGAAACCAGTTCGAAAAAATCAACACCTGTGAAAGAGAAACATTCAAATAAACATCCCTTGACACCTTCAGCTAAAGAAAGGGAACCTGCATCCAAGAGACTAGCATCTTGTAGTCTGAAATCACCCAGTCAGTTATTACCTTCTACAAGCACGTATGAAGTGGTTGGTGAACACCCCTCTGGTTTCGAGATTAAGAAGAGAAGATGTTCCTTGACTACAGCTATAAATGAGCATTATGAGGTTGTAGTTGGTGATGAAAATTTTGTGACCCAAGAAGAAATTTTGCAAACGCTTGAAGTTAGTGCTAAGGTGCTTACTCAAACAATTTCAAAACATTTTCCTAATGTCAAAGTATCACGACGCATATTGTCCGGAGAAGGAAGAGAAATTGTTTATGAAAACTTGAAAAAACGGTGCGTTGTTTTGCGTGATACAGACCATGAACGAACTGTTTTTCATGAGAACACTCCAGTTGACAACTTAAAAAAGGCAATTGCACGGCGTCAAGAGGAACTATCTGCTGTTAATAATGAAATGGAAAGGGAGATTGATAAGGAGCAAGGAAACTGGAATGGTAATTATCTAAAACTTTTGTTTGAGCGTCAAAAAGTTATCAACAGAGATATTTCAAAATTCACAGATGGTTTAGTGAAAATATATGAGCAAGAAGTGGAGAAGTTGATGGAAAGAAACCAGGCTTTTAGACTATCAGAAGCGTTGAAAAAAGATATATCTGATGAAGCATCCCGTTTTAAGACAATGCTAAACTTAGGCCTTAATACAAAGACGGAAATTCAAATAGATGGTTCGTTGTTTTCCAACCTTTCAACGTCATTACTTAAAGATTGCCCTCTTCTTTTTGAAATTGTCGAGTGTCTGTTGTTAACTTCAAGTAGTGGAAACGTATAGACTGGAAGACGAGTTCATAGTGCCAGACATGCACTTGCAATATTGTGTAGTCTCAGTAGTCAGAAAATTACAAACGACTTCAAAATATTGTTTACGATTCTATGCATATCACATGGAGCAGGATCACGGTTCGTTGGTATGTTGAATCACATCGGGTTGACGGTGAGTTGGCAGAAAGCCATGGATGTTCTCGATGACAGAATGGATAAAATGAAAGCCCATGTTAAAGAAATTACCCCTACAGATATCGCTATCATATTATTAATGGATAACATAAATATTTACAAAGGAAAACGTAAGCATTTAAGAATTTTTAAAGAAATTACACTTTCAATGTGGAACTTTACTGGAAGAGCATTTATTATTCCATTCCTATCTGAGACGGTAAAGACGAAAATGCGTAACAAGGAAGATATGTGTCAAAGCCAAAGAGATGTACTGAAACTTACTTACTCAGATATTCTTTATTCGTCCAAAAATATAGACGATAAACTTTTTGAAAAGTATAAGGATTATTACGTACTGTCTGCTATGGACAAAGCATATAATTGTTTACCTAGTTCGAAAAAATGTATTAGCGACATGAGTGAAACAGAATTCAACGCATGGATTTCAGCGTCTAATTTTTCGAAACCCAAGAAAAGATATAAAATTCACGTTCCAACGGTGGAAGGTATAATAGACATGACAAACAGTTCGAGAAAGACGGCCGCCTTTGTATTACCTTTGTCACTTGAAGATAATGCTACAATAGCAGGTACATCTTCGATACTGAAAGAATTTGAAACAGATTTTGAATTACATTCTGCTCCGCAAAATCCTGAATTTCTTCCATACGACACCCTCACCAAATCGTTCGATGTTAATACTGCCAGATCTCGTTATGAATGTATGCATACTCAATCAAAACATATCTGCGACATGAACAACTTTGAGAACAATTTACGCAATAAAGAAAAACATTTGGACGGAGTCGTATTTAGTGATCTATCAGACATTGAACAGAGCACGGATATGACAAATGAAGATGACGATCATTCCAACGGCGAACAACAAATTGACGAGGACGCTTCTACGGTTACAAACAACACGAACCGTACGTTGGAGAGTGAGAGAAGGAGATTCAGAAATGAGGATCAGTCATTTTGGGAATTGTACAATAATGTTGCTTCACGTATTCAGGCGGCATTGGTATCAAATAATGAAGAACATTACATAGAAGTAATAAACGTTATGGCAACAGAAAACCTGGACGTTCATAGAGATCATCTCAAGAGATCGTTTCTTCACATTGCCATCGATAAAGGAAATAATCAACTGGCAAAAGCCTTAGTATACAGTGGCTTCAACGTCAACATCAAGGAGGGATGTGGTCTAACACCCCTGCATTTAGCTGTTATAAACTCAAACTATACAATTATAGAGTTTTTAATTAATAGAAACGCAAGATTTAATGGTCCAATGTTTTCTGGTGTTCCATCCCCAAAAGATGTTGCGGAAAAGCTTCACCTTGCTGACGTATTGGTCCTTATGGCAGATAAAGAACATGAGTCAGACGAAGAGAACACTTTGATTTCTGCAATTGATAAAACATTATGTTTTCACCAGCCAGCTGAGCAAGATTTTAGTGAAGATCAAAGTCCCGATCAAGTCGTTTTTGGTAGGGATGCCCCAGGAGTTGTTACTCCAGTCGTCGGCGATGTGGGCACCTGCAAAACAAACAATGCCACTATGGCACGCTTTTCTTCCTTTCATTGGGCTGGAATATGTGTTGGAGATATACACAATAAGGGATATTTGTGTGAAGCATGCTTTAAGGAGCATGGTAAATCCGGGTTGCATTACATTGTTCATGATGTACTAAAACGAAAGAAATTAACATCGGAAGCTTTTAAAAGCAGGAAATTTCAAGAGAATTTCCTATTACAGATAAGGGAAGCAAATCGTGATGTTTGCTTTGCCTATTGCATTGCTGCATGTCTTCAATTTCGGGAATCAGCGTTTTTCCCATCTAATACAGACCTCGCGCGTTCGATGAAAATAAATGGCAACCATTCTGATATCATACTGGCACGTTTTAAGGAATGGCTAAGCAAAGGCTGTGCAGAAGACGTTACATTCAAGCATCATTCCAGCACCTTCTGCTATTACGGTCCTCTTATGCAGCTGTATGATGATTGCATACGATATGGTGACGGAAGAGCTCTAGAGATCGTCTACAAGCTCCTGGTTCCAGTTTATGCACAACTAGGATTCCGGAACTACTTTCAGGAAACTTTTAGACATGTTGTAAACCTCACAGCTAAATGGCCCAAAGTAACGAGACTAGTTCTTCAAGATAACTGTTGTGTTAACCTATATGGGAATCAAGGGAAAGGAATTGAAATGGATGCATATGTGGAGAGTGAGGTGGTGCGACCACTTAAAATGTATATCAGCGGGCATACCACAGTCAAAATGTGTCAACGCATTATGGGAAATGTCGATCTCATGAAATCTTGTCGAGCAGCTTACAAAAGTAGAGAAAGCTTTGATGTTCACCACACAACACGTCACTCTGTACAAAGTTCCTTCCCAGATCAACTTAAAGCTGGATGGGTTTGCCTGTCGAAGAAATTCTTTGCAATCAAAGGTAGAAAAGATGTACATGCTGTTCCTTTGGGTAAGAAAGGACAATTCGAAGGAAAGATATCAAGCAGGGTAGTAAGCTCGTACGAGAAGGGCGTGGACATAATAAAAAGCAACTTTAGAGCGAAACTGTACAACTGCTTTCCAGACTTACGATACAGTATTCTAGTTGATGATGAGTTTGAGGATGAGTTTGACGATCAGATTGACGAACGCTAGTGACGTTATAGCGGATCATGAACATGATCGTGAAAACAGTGAGTAACTTAAAGAGGACATGCATTTACATAACTCGAGTCAACTTTAACGGTTGATTATGTTGTTCTAAAGCAAAGTGAACTCAAACTTTTGTGTAACGATAGGCAATCTATTCGTGATTTCAAAGTTACCACAACCGCACAACGGTATAATAATGCATGTCGGCTTTTCGAAACCTTTTCAGTTAAGGTTGTCAAGTGTAATAGTTAATTTGTACCATCAAATTGAAAATAATTTTGAAGCATTTCCTAAATGTTATTTGTGCGTATTGTATATTTACAAGCATTTTTGGCATGCTATTTATGTTTTGATCATCACAGAAATGATGTATAGATAATGATGTGTGCAATTCGTATGCATTTTTTGATTATTGCACTTGACAACACTAAAGGAATTTACTGTAAATAACACAATTGTTGGTAGGATTAAGACAAGTTACTAATGATAAAAAGAAGGCTATGAACAGCCGATTTACTTGGTCTGGGTATAATAATTGATGGACTACGATTCTATGTTGTTCAGTACAGTTATATTTTGGAGAAACCTGTTGCAATCTTTTTGTTTCAACGTAAATATGACTACAGTATTAAAGCTATTATGACACAAATCCAAGAGTGGAGTTTCCCAATATTTACAAGTTATATACAATGTGTAAAATGCAATTTAAAACATAACATTAATGTTTTCACTCAAAAGTTCACGGATATCTCCTACAGATAAATATGCTGACTTTACCTTATCATGTTCATCTCTTAAGTTCTCAGTAAATATATTACCAATTATTAGATGGTTTATGAAACGTGTAAGATGACCAACAGACTTGAAATGTCCTTTTCCTTCACCATACTCTGGTACCTGATCAAACTTTTGACTTCTAACAGCTGCCGATTTTGAGCCAATATATGTTGATCCCAATTCATCAACACTTACTTTGTCTTTCAATGACTGCATATGCTGTATACAAGTTATTAGCTGCTTCGCATGCAAAGTGTAATCTTTTCTCACTGGGATAACAGGGTTAAGACAGTTACCACATTTTCCACATTTTCCTTCCAAGGTGCTCCCAAAGTATTCAGCAATAATTTTTTGCTGACAATGTACATTATCCATCAAATAATGGGAAAATTCATTTAAAGACTTGAGGCGTTTTGATCTTGCATCAGGCAGTGTTGCATTCGTGATGTTATGCAAGTGAAATTTCCTGTCTTCAAACCTATATAACACAATGCAGTGTGCATCAATGCCATCCCGACCAGCTCTCCCTGACTCTTGAACATATGCTTCATAACTTGGTGGAAAAGTAAGGTGAATTACAAAGCGCACATCCGGCTTGTCAATACCCATCCCAAAAGAATTTGTTGCACACATGACATTGACATTTCCATCCAGCCACAAGTTTGCATGTTTCAATTTGGTTTTTGGATCCACAATGCCACCATGAAAATATATTGATGAAATACCATTCACTTTCAATTGTAAGGATAACTGTGATGTATCTTCCCTGTGACTACAATACACAATTCCACATTGACCATTGAATCTCGAACTTACTAGTTCCACAACTTGTTTAAGTGCAGCTGAAAATCCAGGTTTCTTCTGGAAAACCTCGAATATTAGGTTCTCTCTAACAAATGGCAATTTGATTATCTCTGGGTTTAAAAGTTTTAGTGTGCTTTTAATTTGTTCAATTGTTATAGCTGTAGCAGTTCCAGTTAAAGCAACAATAGGGACCCCATACTTCCTGAGGACACCAAGCTCTTGGTAATCTGGGCGAAGATCAACCCCCCAAGTGTCAATACAATGTGCCTCGTCTATAGCGAAAAAGTTTAGTCGCCCTTCACATTTCAACTTTTGAAGCAATGTGTGCATTGTTGGGCTCATTAACACTTCTGGACTGGTCAGCAGTACCTTATATTCACTATCTGGTCTAGATAAGTTCACTATCACTTCTTCACGGCGATCCTTAGTTAGCATTGAGTTTATGTAACATGTGTTAATGCCCTTTTCTCTTAAATTTAACAACTGATCATGCATTAACATCAGTAAAGGTGAAACAACAACAGTTATACCAGGCATAAGTAATGTTGGGATTGTGTATATTGCTGTTTTTCCACCACCAGTAGGAATGACAACAACTGCATCTTTTTGTTGTAACACAGCATTTATTGCTTCCTTTTGTCCCGGTCTGAATGAAGAATGTCCAAATACATTTTTCAATATTCCATCAGGATTTTGCTCCCCTGGTAGATGATCATCAATGTCCTTATTCACACTCATTCCTTGAAGAGGTAGCTCATCAAAACAGCGAACTGGCATCTAGGGATCACAGAAAATACATTTTTAATAGCAATATTGTATATATATTTAAAAAACTTATTAATAATTCATGAAGAAAACACAAAGAAAAATCATAAGCGTGTCGTTCTGTATATGTGATACAGATTCATGTTGATTTACATAAACTTTAACTTTGATTTTCTCGGCTTAGACAAGGTTTATTTTTAAAATTACTTCGCCAATGAACTCATAAGATGAGTCGTTTTTTAAGGTGTTTACAACATTCGCGTCCGTGTTGTATCAGATATACAAACTCTCGCCTTCTCGCCGCTCATGTTGTAAACATTACATATATATAAATATATATACATATATTGTGCTTTTCCACGTTGATAATTCCACTAGTGTAACATTATGTAGCGGTCTATATATATATAATAGTCTTACCTCAAAGGGTGCCACAACAGTCTGTTCCATCCAGTCGGAATCACCTGACGATTCCTCTTGGATGAAACAGACTGTTGTGGCAACCTTTGTTGTAATAAATATATATATAAAAAATAAATATAATAAATATATATTATACAATCAAAGAATTAGTCAAGAATTGCGACAAAGTTTACAATTGTCATACAATTTTAATATATCAAAACGACTTACCTCTCTGTAATAAACAGATTCAACATATATTTTGGAAGAGGACTTCCAAACAAGGAATTTCTCCTCGAAATCTTGAGTGTCTCCTACTTTGATCACTTTTAAAGGATAGCCATTTGTTAACGAAGGATTTACGTAGTTTCCGTGAGATAAAGCTAATCCAGCAAGTTTTGCAGCATCTTTCTTACACGTGCTATAAATACTTGTACGTAAATGATCCGTTTTAACCTCGTATTCTTTGAACAAATCTAAACCAAGACTGTTACTTGATCTAAAGGCAGATAACTGATTTATGAAAAGTTTGGTCTCTTCGAAATGTAATTCACTAAATAGTTTTAAAGAATTTTCCTTTTTGAAAGAATACCGTTTGTGAGCATGCCTGTAATGGAAGCCCACCCCAGCCGATGAAAAGAATTTAATACTGCCGTCAGTGTCATAACATTCAACACAAATAACTTTTCCTTCCTCTTTCGCCGTTTGAAAGAGTCGATCACCATAGCCTTCCTCAATAAATTGCTTTTCTTGTCGATAATACGACTTTCGATTTACAGCATCCGCCATCTTGAAAACATTACTCGGCAGGCGCTCTCGCCTGTAACCCGCACTTTCCGAACCTGCCCGAAATGCTCCCTAAGCGCCTGCGGAGGAGGTAGATACTATCGCATTCGCATGTGCTGTGTAAACACATAGAGCTTCACCAGCATCATTCATGATATTCATAGAGAATTTATAGCTACATTGTACGGTATATCATGACTGCCCTCACACTACACCGACTTATAATCCTTCCTGTATTCATATACTGTATTATTCAGGATCGTTTGCTTTTCACAACTTGAATCGACAGTTGGACAGTGTTGATTTTAATATCTTGAATCCATTCTCTATATCCAGGGGATATAATTATATATATATACACTGTAGGTATTCACGGGCATCATATGATATCGTGGCTAGTAAATGGCCTTTTTTTCTTCTTTGACTCTAATATACCTCACTCTAATGTAAATCTGTTTTTAATTATGTTTATTGTTTAATTATAGCTCGTTGGCCACCGCAACTAATTTAGCGCAGAAAGATTGCAAGTATTCGTGTCAGGTAACCATTCACCAAGATAAAGATTACGTATACAAACTGAAAGGCAAAGGCCAGAGGCATGCGTGATAAAGATTCAGTCGAAGAATGTACAAATCTGTGATGGTATATTTATCATAGCTATAATATGAAATCGAACTGTCAAACCGCACAAAGATATCAGATTCAGATATATATTTATATTTAACATAGATACCTTCCAATAATTCGGCACGTTTAAGAACTCAGGCTCTATACGTATAGTTATATATGTGGTTGGAAACATTCTACAATACTGCTATTCGGCTCTAAAACATATATATTTATTTTGGACGAACAATATATCTTTAATGAATCTACGCGGCTAAGTGGGGATAAAATTTCAGTTTAAATTAATAACTGCATGTATGTAGGGATTGAAGCTTACTGTGTACTGCCACTGTGCGACTCGAAGATTTGCATTTATATGCATATTTTATTACAGCATTCCAATTTTAACTGCATTTACTTGCCTTAGTTATGATTTATCTGTAATTTTATTCCTGCTAAGAATGCCTCATTTCGATACGGATATGGAATTACGAACTGATTTGTTATAGAATATAGTTTTAAAACTACTGTACAAACAATTATTCATTTGTAGTGCAATTTTCCATCTCAGTTGTGAAACAATTATATGTAATAATAGTTTGCATTTTCTAGCAAACTGACCTGGTATTTTAGGCTTTCATACCCAACTGATCAGCTGAACGAAGTGGAAACCCATATCTGTACTCTATATACTCAGAAATTTTAGGCCGTCATAATTTTCAATTTACAACAAATTTAGCTGATGCGGCTACTTTAGGCATACTATAGTTCTCAAAAAATTTCTATTTTAAAGGTAAAAAAGTTAGAATCAAAATTAAACTTACTGCATCAAATTTAGATTCATTGCGGACGGTTATAAGTTCCAAATTTGATTATAAGTTGCAGTTGCGGACAGTATATATATTTTGCTCATTGGGAAAGAAAAAATGCAATGACCCATTTTTTGGAAAAAGACCTTTACTAACGGAGAAAAATATAATTGAAAATCCCATTTTAGTTTGGAACGCGTTGACTTTTGTATTAGAAAGATTAAGGTAGTCTGAATGTCAGTTATATATCCCTATATTTTGCATCAGTTATTTATTCTGTATTGCCAGCAACTCTAATTGCATCCAAATATAGGGGTGTCTGAAATTCAGACACCCTTATATTTGGATGCAATATATATAGGAGTGTCTGAATTTCAGACACCTTTTATTTGGAAGCATGATATAGCGGTGTCTGAATTTCAGACACACTTATATTCGGAAGCATGATATAAGGGTGTCTGAAGTTCAGACACCCTTATATTTGGATGCAATATACTGTATATAGAGGTGTCTGAATTTCAGACATCCTTATACTTGGAAGCAAGTTATAAGCGTGTCTGAATTTCAGACTCTCTTAGATTTGGAAGCAAGATATAGGGGAGTTTGAATTTCAGACACTCCTATAAATACTTTTGGCGTATATACTGTTTTTAGTGGAATCTTGCATTGACTTGATATAAAAAGGGTATTTGTGCAGACAGTCAATTGTGTCTGCCAAAAAAAGCGAATTTCCTTAAAAAAATTGACGAGTCTGCGACTTTTTGTTAATTTCCTCAATCTGTGCGGAAAATCACAAGTTTGGAATTGTTCAAAATTCTTTGGAACGCGTTAAATGAACTGCCGGCTTGACGGCTTCAAGCTTCAGCAAACACTTTGTTGGACAAAATTCCAGTTACTCTCTGGCTGTAACATAAGAATGCCGGAGTTTTGCTATTATTTAGCTATAATTAACAATCTTCATCGAATATCTATGCATGCTTTGATCATTAGCAAACAAATCAAATGAATTTCTCACCGTTTAATCAACAGATATAACCTGTGGTTGGACAGAATGTCAGTTACGCTGATAGGTGTACGTGGCACTATTCCAGGGTTGAATTACTGTTCACTCTCCTCGCCCTACTGTAATCACATTTGAAATTTCGAAGACTCGCACACAGAACCTCTTCTGACACAATAAAAGCGTATCTTGCCGTACCGACTGTATTTAATATGGTGTAACACTTGGCATTGTGTTTATCGACCCCCAGCAGCTCTATCCTGATCTAGGTAGTTGATCCTGATTGGTCACAACTGAAGTTCCATTAACTTCTGATTGGCTGAAATTAAATATCAACGAACTTTGGACTTTGATTTTCAAAGTCAAAATAATATTTTTGGCCACTTATTTATTTTATTTTACAAGTTTGCCATTGCAATAGATCTATAGAGTTACAAATGACTGGAATTTCCACACAGAGCTAGATAGTTCTCCAATAACGGGATTTAAAAAGAAACAACTTATAGTATACTAATTGTTCTAAAAATTTAAGCAAACAATTTAAACACAAATACAAAAAGACTTGATGTTCATTGCAAATTATGCTTCTTTCTATGCTTCAAACTACTAAATTTTCGATGCAACAAGAAATCTGATGTATTGCAGATTAATATGATATCCAAGTGAACAAATGAAACGCAACAAGCTGTGAAAAATAACGCCAATTTCTGGAGTAATGCAATATATTTACGTTATAATTATTCAAAGTCTGAACTTTGTCAACCTTTGAGCTCAGCCAATCAGAATGTATTAACAGAATCTGCGTAGCGCAGCTGGGGGTCGACAAGCAATGCCACGAATTTTCACAGACTGACGACTGGTCGTATATGATTCTTATCCTGGCGAATGAAAACGATTGACGCCACTATTCCTGACATTTCCTGTTCATTAGTTTATGGCGAAGTTTAAAATGTGACATCTTTACACGTATTTATTCGAGTACATACGCCAGGATAAGAATCGTATACAACTAGTCGTATCGTGTAGATGGACCTTTATAGCATAATGCAGTCTATTATCGCGAACGGGCAATACCTTCGGTGCCTGGCACAGTTTGAAGTTTGAAGGGCGTACTCCCTTGACTAATCTGTCTCTAATCTGGTAATGTCGTTATTTAATTCCATGCTGCCGAGCGCAACAACAATAATAATAATAATAATAATATTTAATATTTATATTGCGCAAATTAACATGTTATAGTATATGATCAAATGCGCATCATAAAACATAATTACACTAAAATTATTCTATGCTGAATAATTACTAACTAAAAGTGAACAAGATTATATAGATTATATGTTACATGAAGTATTTACATCAAAGGCTTCTTCAAAACACCGAGTAGAGACTCGCCTAGAGTAGACTGAGACATACAGAGACGCAACTGACCGTCGTAAATAATGCGGAAGATTACGTTATCATGTACCCTCTTTTTTTTCAGGCGACCGGGCGAAAATTGATCAACTGCGCGTGCTCAGCAAGTTTAAAGTGAGTTGTCATCAGTTCGTCATCCAATCAGATGCATGCATCTAGTAACTTGCCAAACATGCGCACAAAAAAGTGAGTACACTAGTTACGTCTCTGTATGTCTCTACTCTGTGTTCAAAATGATAAATAAGTCTTAATTAACTAATTTCTCTAAGCATATTTCTTATATACATAGGTAATTCATTCCAGATTTTTGAAGCAGATGTTACAATTCAAATGCTCTGTCGCCGAGTGTTTTCTTTGTTTTTGTACTATAGTCTTCAAGCAATGTGCCTTCGTTAAATCTTAGACTATAGCACGACTGCCACGACGTCTTTCTTTCTACTTTTAAAATATTGACAAGTGTATTTTGTAGCTGTTGTAGTTTTAACCTGAAATTCAGGCCCTAATTTTGAACTTCAGGTTATTGTAGTTTAGACAGATGTACGTGTGTGACTGCTGTGACACCAAAGGTAGGAGACCTATTCTTGTGGGTTAGCTGTTTCTTTCGCGCGATTTTTGGATATCCGTCCTGAATTGTGAGATTTTGTGGCGAAGTCGGAAGTTTTAAAATTACATACTACAAAGTCTACAAATAGACTACGGGAGTGACTCTCAGAATACCTTGCTTGAAACTCGCGAACGTCACAATGTGCTATATATGACATTTAAAAAGTCATAAATATTTGACATTTACACATGGCAGTACTCTAGTTACATATTGATGAACTTGAGATTAGAGTTCCACAACTGGCTTCTTTAGACTTTATTTAGCTCAGTTGGTTAGAGCGCTGCACTAGAATCACAGACACAGCCCGCAGGTTCAATTCCTGCCAGGGATCTAAAGTTGCATTTTTGAAAAATAGTAATTTATTAATATTGATATACCGCGCAACGATTGGACATATTTTACGATATCAAATAGTGCACGATCGATAAGAAAATGAAAACTACGTTAGCCTATGTCGAAGGAATGTTACATTTAAACGCACGACACTATTGTGATAATTTTTGTACGTCATTGGAATCGGGTCAGGTCTACTCGGTCTGTGAAATATATTTGTTGAATGTGTCAATAATTTGACAAAATTTGGTAATATTTTTGCAAATTTAGAAAACCTCCCCTGACTATAATATATGAGTGTGTAATATATTTGTA